ATATACAACGAGTGTTCAAATCCCAGATGCCTGGCAAGGTCAGGGCTCTAATTTAGGACTCCCCCTCCCTCCTGGCCCTGTTGATAGGCACATGTCTTTGGCACCATCCCTACTTAGCAAGCTGCTGTTGCAGAAAAGAGAAGATAACCTCTGGTGGTCATGTTACAGTGGTGTTTCTTTTCTTTTCTTGTTATAATGAAAAAATATTTATCCTAAGAATGCATTATTTTAATCATCAGGAAAAAACTACAAAACTACTTCTATTGTAGGAGAAAAATACTAGGGATCTGGTTTATAAGAGAGTGTTGATGAACAGCATAGGCTTCGGGAAACAATCAAATATCGACACAATATCAGGCACTGAACTAGGCAATACCAAAATGAAGAAAAATTCCCTTTCCCTTTGCATGTTTCCCAGTTTATTTGCTCAAACAATTATGACCTATGCAAAGAAAACACCCAGTTTTCTCTATGAGCCTCTGTGTGGAGAGGCACTGAAAATGACCTAGGAGCTCTTTAAGTAAAGCTTAACAAAGAGGTTAATTTCAACAAGTGATGAGGAAGACTGGATGTGAAGACACATGGAGAAGTAAAAGATCAGGGCTCCTCAGGGAGCTTCACAGGTTTGGAGGGTCTGGAAGGCAGGTGGACAGCAGGGAAGGGTGGGAGCTGAGGTAAGAGGGGACGGAGGTCATCGATGGCTGACTGCTAGAAACCTAGACTTTATTCTGCATGTGTGTATGGGGGGATGGGGTGGGAGGAGCAAGCCAAGAGAAAGCATTTGAACAAGGTGAATTAATAACTTTATCCATGTAAAAATAACAACCTTGCTTTCAGGAAACAAGAAAATCATTTATTCTGAGTCAAATATGAGTGACCATGGCCTGGAACGTGAATTCTATTACTCTGAATAACATTTTCCACTGTGGAAGAGGTTAAGTAAAATTTTTTTTTGTACTAGGGATTTAACCCAGGGGCGCTTTACCATTGATCCACACCCCGAGTCTCCCCCTTTTTATGGGTACTGGGGAGTGAACTCAGGGGTTCTTGACCACTGAGCAACATCCCCAATGAGACAGGGTCTCACTAAGATGCTTAGTGCCTTGCCATTACTGAGGATGACTTTGAACTTGAGATCCTCCTGTCTCAGCCTCCTGAGTTGGAGGTTACATAAATTTTTACAGCACAGAATAAAGAAGGTTTTAAGTCAATTACATTTGCCAAATGCATTGGCAGAAGCATCAGAGAGGTGGACTACAGCAAGGTAGGGAAACTCTTCCATGGGTTGCAGATATTATAGGATTCTTACAAGGCTTTAGGTTGGTGGAGGCTAGAGGTCTGCTGAGCTTGGAGTTACATTCTGAGAGTTTTACTTAATAGTCATGAGGATGTTAAGTCAGATTCTAAGAGGCTGAGAGTGAATGTCTATTAGAAGGACTAAGAAAGCTCAAGATAAGTTTGACTCTTGACCTCCAACATTCCATCTCTCCCCAATCATGATGTTCTACTCAGTCAAGGTCAAACAGTCTGCAGGATCTTTGATATGGATGAGAACTTCAGAGAACTTCAGGTTCTCATCTTCAGTGACAGAATGTCTAGCAACACGGTTGTTAGTAGGAAATATTTGTGGGGTAGGGAAGTAGAGGAATATCTTTTTGTCCTTTAAGTAGTATAATACACGAGGCTACTACGTAGGACCCATTCTTTCTCCAACTCTACCTTGAAAAATGGGTAAAACAATTGCCAGGACTTAAGAACATGTATTCTAGAGCCAGCCTTCCTAAATTCAAATCACTGCTTTTTTATTACTTAGAAATTTATGGTATTGGCTTCTTTTTCACTCAGTTTCCTTATCCTTACAGTAAGAATAATAATCATATCTACCTCATTAGGTTGTTGGGAGGATTAAATGAATTAACATAAGGATAGATCTTTGAGTCATGCCAGACACTTAGGAAGAAATATGAGTTTGTTATATTAGGCATATTTTGTGTTCTCATTATTGTTCTATCTATGAGCAAAGAAAAGCCTAAAGGGATTTGGAGTTAGAAGTAGCATGCCACCATCACTAATTGGTGGTGTGACCTAAGCATTTTAACCTCTCTGAGCCCTAGTTTTCCACTAGAAAATGCAGATGACAATAATTCCCACTGTACAGAGTCTTGTGGAAATCAAAGGAGATAATGGATGCCAAAGCTCTTTGTAAATTGTAAATCGCCCAATACCAGCCACCAGATTGATATTCTCTCCCCGATCTTCCCATAAGGGCAGAGAGGGGTCTCTCTGCAAAGGGATTCAGTGATTTACTGCAATTCTCCTGTGAGTCTGCATTGGGTCTGGCCTGGGACGCTGTCTTTGCACTAAGCAATTTCTCTACACTGTCCGGCCAAGGGAGTGTGCCCTGCCTTCTACACCCAGATGGAGAATCACATAAATAAAGCAAAACCCTGGGCTAGGCTCCTCCTGTCACTTTGCTACTAATTGCCTCTTTAGAAATAGGAATAATTAAACCTGGAACTTTATTTTAACAGGCCTCAGGTCAGGCTCAGCTTTCCGCATCCTTGGTCAATTTTCCCACCACTTCTTAGCTAATCTGGGGAAGAGGAAACTGTCCTGGAGTGGTTCATTTGCATCAAAACCACTATAATTTGTAAGTAAATGGCATTGCTTTTAAATGCAAAGGAACATCCTTGAGTTGACAGAGAAACCTGTCTTTGATTCTTCAAATAACTACAACCCCTAATGTTCTGAAAATAATCTTTCCTTCTCTCCATTTACACCCCTCCCAGAAGGAGCACCCTTAACCCCTCTTGGAAAAATAGCCATTAAAGTTTTCTCCTGTCAAGGGCCCTCTCCTTGCCTGCTGGGGGAGGTGTTTGAGGAACAATCCTCACCTGGACAGGCACACTGAGTTGCTACTAAATGTAACGCACAGAGAAACAGAACAAACTTCCCAGCCATTAGGAAGTTCACATCTCTGAAGGAAGATGATGCTATTACCTATGTGATAGAAGGCAGAATGTGATATTGTAAGAGAGCTGCAAAGTTCTTCATGACCTGGAGTCTGAACCTGCTTGGGAGATGAGTAAAGATCTGGAGAGACACAATGGTTATTCTGTTAGACCTCAAAAGTTGATATGATTCCAGCATGGTGGGTGGGTGCCTATGATCCCAACAAATCTGGAGGTGGAGACAGGAGGATCACAAGTGTAAGGTCAGCCTCAGCAGCTTAGGAAGGCCCTAAGCAACTTAGCAAGACTCTGTCTCAAAATTAAAAATAAATAAATAAACAAAGAAAAAGGGGTTGGAGGAGTATAGCTCAGCGGTAAAGTGCCCTGAGTTCAATTAACAATACTGGAGAGCTGGGGGTGGGGCTGATATGATTTCTCTGTCTGTTCCTCACAACATAGTCTCTTCACAATTGCAGTCCAGCTGCCCTGCTCAGTGCATGGTCAATATCATCAGTATCATCTGAGCATCCATCCTTAGAGCTAAGGCATTGCTCTGAAACATCACCCACTGAAAGTCACCATCTAAAGTGCATTGGTGCATCCAATTGGCCAGTTCCCTCTCTCTAGCATTTGTTTTGTGCAGTCTGTGCATACTTTGAGCACTTCCCTGAATGCTAAAAACACATAATTCTATAGAGGATCAGGACTAGGAATGGGTTGGAACCTAGGATGTGGCCCTTGCCAACTCTGTAACTTCAGGAAGGTCACTAAGCCCCTTGAGGCACACAGTCATCATCTATAAAATGTCACTGCTCTTGTCTGGATGTTTGAGTCGGCTCTTCCCCAAATTCATCTGTTTAAATCTTTATCCTCACGATAATATTAGGAGGTGGGAACTATAGGAGGTGATGAGGTCCTGGGGGCTCTATGCCCATGGAATTCATGTCCTTGTAGAAAAGATAAAAGAGACCTCCTTCTCCTTGCACCCTGTGAAGATACAGTGAAAAGACATTGTAAACTATAAAGTCAGCCCTCATCACATACCAAATCTGCCTTGAGAAATATGTTTCTATTATTCATGAGCAATCTGGTTTACGGTATTTGGTTACAGCAGCCCAAACAAACTATGACCACAAATGGAAATTTATGACAAATTTATGACAAATCCTAAAATGTGGAAGTGTCTTTGGAACTTTGTAATAGGTAGGAGTTAGAAGAATTTTGAGTTATATGTTCCCAAAAAAAAGAAAAAAGAAAAAAGAAAGCCTACATTTCTGTGAATAGACTATTAAGGATGATGTTGATGAGGGCTCAGAAGGAGAGATATATTTGCACAGAAAACTTTAATATTCTTAGAGGAGATCTTAGGTGACAGAAACAGAAATGTGGATGGTAACATATCTTGTGATATTGCCTCAGATAGAAAGGAAGAGCGTGCTATTGAAAACCAGACGAAAGGTGATCCGTGTAATAAAGTGGCAAAAAACTTGGGCTAATTGCTTCCTAGTGTCTCATGGAAGGTAGAATTTGTGTGAGATTAAATTAGATAGTTAACTGAAGTTATTTCTAAGTGAAGTGTTGAAGGTGTAGTCTGATTCCTCTTGACTGCTTACAGTAAAATGTGAGAAGAGAGAAATGCTTTAAAGACAGAATCGTTTATCAAAAGAGAAACAGAACTTCTGGAAAATTCTCAAGCTGTCTATGTTGGGAAAAAAATGAGAAACCTGTTCAAGAGAGAACACAAAAGATCTGATCAAATTTGATAAAGAAATGAATATGGATTGGCCATCTCGAGAGAAGCTAGGAGCTATTCATCAAGACAAGGAGAAGAGCAGGCAGGCAGCCTTCTAAATAAGAGCTGGGACCTATTGTTCAAGACATGGAAGCATGACCTCAAAGTCACCTCAGAGATGAGCAGACTACCCTCCTCCTTGTGAGTTCACAGTGCAAGGACCTGAGGGGCAGCACACTCCTGAAGGAGAAGCCTCCCTTTGTCTGCACCGCCTAACTCAGAGACCCTGCTCCAGGCACTCCATTGTGATGCTCTCTGGGTGGGATTGGTGTGGTTTGTGCTTTGCATCCTGCAAAGTTGCAGGAATGGGGTTGTCTCCATCCAGACTTCAAAGGATGGTCTAGAAAGCCTCAGGGTTCAGGAAGATAACTAATAGGAATGAGGATACAGCAAAGCCCTGCCTAAGGTAATGCCCAGTGCATCCATGTTGGCATCTATCTTACTTGAAACAGCTACAAGTACATGACTCCAATCTTAGAGAGGTGCAGTGTGGGCTGTGTCCAGCAAAGCCCTGGGGACAGGGCCACCCAAAGCTATGAGGGCCAGACCACCACCCGGTAAGTCTAGAAGATGGGAACTCCACCTCAGTGGGCCTGGAAGGCAGAGCAGTGAGCCAACAAAAATTGTTCTGGAGACTTAAGATCTGCTGTTGTCTACCATGTTGAGTTTTGGACTTGCTGGATACCTGACATTTCCTTCTTCTTTCCTCTTTCTCCCTTTCAGAGTGGGCATGTTTGTTCCTGTGCCTGTCCCACCACGGTATTATGAAAGCACATAACTTACTTGATTTTTCAGGTTCATTGGCTGGGGGGAAATTGCCTCAGAATGAGTTGTACCTTCAGGCAAATTTATATCTGACTTAAATGATATATAAATGAAACTTTGGACTTTAGAGTTTTGAGTTGATTGAAGTCCACGTTAAGACTTTGGAGGCTTTGGGATGAAATGAATGTATTTTTCATGTAAGAAGGAAATGAATTTGGGGAGTTAGCTGTGGAAGAATGCTATAGTTTGTTTGTGTCCTTTCACAATTTATGCATTGAAATCCTAACCCCCAAGGTGATAATGTTAGGCCATGGGACTTTGGGGAGAGATTAGGTGGTGGGGCTGAAGCCTTCATGAATGGGATTAGTGTTCTTACAGAAGAGGCCTGAAAGAGACCCTGAACCCTTTCCATCATGGGAGGACACAGCAAGAAGATGATGTCTAAGGGTCAGAAAGTGGGTGCTCACCTGTTGCCAAATCTTTCAGTACCTTGATCTTGGATTTCCCAACCTCCAGAACTGTGAGAAATAAACTTCTGCTGTTTATAAGTCATCTAGTCTGTGATATTTCATTGCTACAAAAACCTGAATAGACTAAGATAGACACTAATAACAACTACTTCATCAAGTTGATGGCAAGGGATGACTAACAAATGTAGAATAATTAAAAAATTCTTGATAGAAAAAATTTTTCCCTTATGGCTATAAATCATTAACTGTATTGGGGTTATTAGATCATTAGGAGATCAGAATATAACACCCAAAAATATGACACTTCACCCTAAGGATTATTTTGAACTATAGGCAATCGAGGAAAAGCAGACAAAGGACAAGCTCTCTACTCTTCCCCCATCTGCATGAATGAACAGCATAAATTTCCCTGAAGAAGGTGACTCCCCGCCCATCCAACTTCCCATGCCAGGAAGGGGAGAACAATCATCACCAGAGAAGAGGTGGCACTGAAAATAATTCATATAAACAAACCTCACAAGGTGGCTTTTATCTACCATGAGTGTACCCCACATGATTACCTTCCATCAATTAACACTTCTAGAAAGTACAGAAATACTTTTTCCTTTGTCTTGTTACTTCTCTACAAATTTGCCATCCTCTGTGTTTCAGTTTGGATATGAGGTGTCCCTGCAAAAGCTCATGTTAGGCAAAGGAGGAATGTTCAGAGTTGAAACAATTAGATGAAAATCACTGTGACATAATCAGTGGATGAATCCCTTTGATGGTGGTAACAATAGAGGGGGGACATGGCTGCAGAAAGAATGTCACATGCAAGTGGGCCTTTGCACATGATATTTTGTCCCTGGCTCCTTGCAGACTCTCTCTGCTTCCCAGCAGCCATGAGCTGAGCAGGTTTCTACACAACACTCTTCTGCCATGATGTTCTGCCTCGCCTCAGGCCCAGAGCAATGGAGGTGGCTGACCATGGACTTGAGCCTCTGAAACCATGACCTCTGATTAAGTTTTACCTCATCTAAGTTGTTCTGGTCAGATATTTTGGTCATAGTGGTGAAAAGCTCACTAAAACACCTTGGTATAAAAGCCTCCATGCCTAAATATTTCTTTGGGATTTTTCTTTTTTCTTCTTTTTGAAGCAACCCCCCCACCCGGGCCATGTAAAAGAATTTTAAATAAAATTCATATGCTTTGCTTTTGTTGTTCATTCTACAGGGCCAGCTACTAAATATAAGAGGATAGAAAGAAAATTTTGTCCTCCTCTGTATCATTTCTTGGTGTTGGGGAAAGATTTTTTTCCAGTAGTTGGAATTTAGTAGATGATAAATAGGTGCTTATTGACTGGTGTAATGCCCCATTTCATCTATATTTAATTGTGATTTGCCCTCATTTGGAACACTGGCACTTCATTCCATCTTTTCTCCCCAAATAACCTGTTTAACTATATTTAATTATTTAAAAAGAAACTCCACATCCCACTCCCAGGCCAGATAGCTCCAGGAGCAGAACAGAGAAAGGAGCGGGGTGAGAAGGACATCAAGGCTTCTTTTTCTGGTATATTCACAATTAGTAATTGCTTCCTCTTGGGTGAGGCTATACTGCCCTACTACACTGATGACAATTTTGACCATGTGACTTGCTTTGCCCAGTGAAATATGACCAGCAGGGCCCTGCCATTTCCAAGAAGGAACTTCAAGAGTCAATGTGTTTTAGTACATTTGAAATAAAAATATCCAGCTAGCTGGCTTATGAGTAGCAGAAATTTATTTCTCTCTGGGAAATTCAAGGTCAAGGTGCAGGCTGAGCTGGTGTCTGGGAGAATTCATTTCTCATGGACAGAATCTTTGTGTTGTGTCCTCACATGGTAGAAGGGATGAGGGATCTCTCTGTGGACCCTTTAT